CGGGGCCACGATTCACCATCCTGAGCTCTTCACTGGTGGACCGATCCCTTTCAGCGTGTTAGAAAGAAGATCTGCACCAATAACAAAAGCGCCCAAGCTTTCCCTCCCCCCCCTTCCGAGAAACTGAAACGGATGGGGCGCCACCAAGGAGGACATTACTGTATGCCTTTTATACGACCCGGAGCAGAATGTGTCCTTGAACCTGCATGGCTGGACTCAGCGATTCCTTGAATATGTTGCGGGCTTCTGATTATGCCTCTGATTTCGAGGTGATTTTTGAATGAAGCTGCTAATTTTCGACTTATTTCAGTACAACGCTCAGCACTACAAAAATGTCTTCCTGAATGATGCTGATGTGAGAGCTGTTGAGCAAAGCGAGACCGAACCGTCACTTTTGAACCTCGTCCAGGTGAGTACAGTAATTTGTGCTGTACAATATTTACTTGTGCTATCTAATATAATTAAATTTGAAGAGGTCAGCAGTTTTCCAATTCTCACTCTTTGACCGAGTATCGAATCCAGAATATCATCGGCCAAAGTTTTTCTAAAGGGACACTTATTTTTGCCAGACGCGCCATCGCTACGATTTCTGCTCAGAATCTCAGCTTTCATTATCACCCCAGCGCCTACGAATCCGGTGTCCATTCAGGTCATTTACGGTATGAACGCTTTTCAGAAGCGGGTTTCAGCTTGCTCCAGGGGCACCGGCACAGAGCCCAGATACAAAGGAAATTTCCTTGACTGTTAAAAAATAATGAACAGTGCCTATCAAAGTCACAGCGTACTATAGCAAAATGAGGATATGGCATTCATGGTGTAATGGGGGGATATATGGCAGGTCTGCTTAGCAGAAAACTGCGAAAGAACAGTCCCCCTTGCTTGTTGATATCATGACAAAATCGGCCCTTTCCCCTATCCTGCCATCTTCACCATCGAACCATTATTTCCAGTCTATTTCCAAGTCTGCAAGTGCAGTATTGCACGCGTTCACGCAGCGATCAGCTCCTTTCCCAGACCAAACACTCTCTAGTGGCGATAAATTGGTGCCACTTTCGTCTGGGAGAATAACACTGATTTGGAAGTCGGCTGGTCCCCGTAAGCCGTTGTGTGGGCAGTACCCTTTCCGAAGAGCTATTACTTATCTGAATGGAAGTAGAATTAAAGTTGAATGTGTGCCATATCCTACTTAGGGTTTGACTACGGAGGGAGCAGTATCTAGTTGACCCGGACTTGTGAAATAGACTGGATTTTTCTCTAAGGGAGAGGATCCATATCACTAGCTCCGAAAATTCTTTCCACGCAACAGAAGCGACACATTATAGTCGGATCTACACACCCTAGGCAGGAGAGGTCGTCTAGGAGACAGTCGTAGTGGCTGACAGAGCAAAACCCCAAGATGCGAGACGGTTATGCACCAACTGTTTGTCTCATTTCTATGAGGCATTCCTAGAGTCTTCCGGGTGAAACTGAACACCGTTCCATGTGTTCCCAAGTCCGCCCCTGTGAAAAGATAACCCGTTTTGAATATGTTTACCTTCCTTTAAATGCTTCTTCAAAGGATCTTCTAAAGATGAATGGAATATTTTCTTCAGAACTGGTTGGAGAGAACTCCTGGTTTAGTGCTGGCGACGATTGACGGTGAGAAAGAGGAGGGCTTCTGGCCGAAGTATGAGCAAGCCGTGAAGCGATATCTATCTGACCTATACGACGAAGCTATGGTAACCATTCCACTATTTTTGTTCCTTTCAAATGTGGTAGAACAGCGAGTACTCCTTCGTTTTCAGAACGAATCCCTTCCACAAAACGTCCACGACCAACTATTAGCAGAGTATCATAAGACGAAGGATTCTTTTGCTACGATTTTGGATCCAAAGCAACACGCACAACAAATTCTCAATGGTATGTCTACCATTAGCCACTGTTGACGGTAATGGAATTTGAGCGAGAAAGCAATCGGTAGTCGGGCTCCGTTCACACTTTGCCATTCGAGCGATACAGTCGCACGTGCGAGAAAGCTGTTAGAACAGCTACCGCCGAACATGGTCCACCGCTAGCCTTTGGACCGGTACAACGGGTGAAAGCTTTATTCTGAATGCTACTTGGATTAGCAGTTGCACCAGGTCAACGGGTAATGTTGTAGCGCGGTCGTGCTGCCGGGCGCTCCACGGTTCCAATTGCTTGTAAAGACTGAGCGTTGCCTGTAGTCTGTAGTCGCCTGTGATCGCTAAATTATTCCTCAGGAGAGAAAAAAAACGAAGAAAAAAAACATGGAGAACACCCTATGTGGAGCCTGGCAGCCTCTTTGGACGAGCTTTCCGGATCTGCTCCTTTTATGCCAGCAAAGGGATATCCTGCCATCTCTAGCGCAATAATTGTCTCTCCGCGTCGGCTAATACTAATACCAAGAAAAAGAAACGGAAAACATGCAAAAACTGACCTGTCACAGAAAAAAGCATTTGAGTTTCGGTGGGCAGGACAACTGAGGGGGCGGGGCGTCAGAAACGCTCCCCACAGCGCCCAGGGCACCTCATTGTTGGGGATTCCCCGACAGGGGGATAGTGTTTGGACCGACGTTGTAGAGGGGGAGGTCGTATTTGCTCGTTGTTAGGAGGGGTCGTAACCTTCGCCCTTCTGGGAGAGATTGCTGCTTTTTCGTCCTGTTTCATGTGTATTATACAACCACCCCCCCCCCGCTCGACAGCAAAATTTTTGGGAGGAATTTGGAGAAAATCCAAGAAATGGTAGAGGGGGTCGTATCCGCCAAGCGATGAGGGGAACCAGGTGGGGGGGGAGTTGTACTAACCCTAAAGGGGTCCACATAGAGCAAAAGTTTCAGAGCTAATGATGTGACTTGGCAGCGCCTTCGTCACTTCATCCTGGAGAGTGAGGGGACAGACTACTTGTACAAAGAAGGACGCCTATGAGTTGTTTGAGGGCGGGACTGTCTTTAACTTGCGAGCCAAGCGTGAGTCAGGAGCTTAATCAGTATTGAGATGGAGTGAAGGCCTAAGAAATTTCTGCAACAACCATTTATACGTAAACGTACGTATATAAATGTAAACTGCTGATGATAGCAAGAATTCTTCGAGTGGGCAAAGTTGCCTAGCCAATAGAAAGGCAGTCCCCTCCAATTGGAGCTGAGCGGTGTGTGCAACAGTCTGTTGGGTGCTCTAGTATGTGAAGAAACCGAAAAAAAAGTTAAAAATAGAAAATGCAGAATAAAAAAGCTAGTAATGCTGCCAGAGAGGGATTCAGTTGTGTATCCTGTCCCCTATGTCAGCCATATTTAGAGAGCAAGAACGCAGAAAAAGCGCAGAAACTTACAGAGGAAAAAGCGAAAGTTTGACCTCCTCGAATGAGTGACTGAAATCTTCCACTGCCGGTGAAGTGAGTCTGTGCATATTATCTAACGATCTGTTTCGATGTTTGGGAAGTGAGAATGGAAAGAAAAA